GGCCCCCGGGTGCTCGGTGCTGTACACGCACGGACCAAAAGAGACAGCCCCGGAGAGCCGACAGCCAGGAGTGACAATGGAGCTGATAGGAGAAAGTTCTTCACACAGCATGTAGTCAACCTGTGGAACTCCTTGCCAGAGGAGGCTGTGAAGGCTAGAATTATAACAGAGTTTAAAGAGAAGCTAGATAATTTCATGGAGGTTAGGTCCATAAAAGGCTATTAGCCAGGGGATAGAAATGGTGTCCTTGGCCTCTGTTTGTCAGAGGCTGGAGAGGGATGGCAGGAGACAAATCGCTTGATCATTGTCTTCAGTCCACCCTCTCTGGGGCACCTGGTGCTGGCCACTGTCGGCAGACAGGATACGGGGCTAGATGGACCTTTGGTCTGACCCAGTCCGGCCGTTCTTACGTTCTTATGAGATGGGGGAGAGGAAGAGAGATGGGGCTGGCAACCTGGTGTGAGCTGGGTGTGCGTGAGGATGGGTTGGAGCGTATGGTTGGTGGTCAATGTTCCTTCTAATCTTTTCTGTCCTTATGTGGATTTTTTTCTATCCATGTGCGGAATAATGTTCTATGTGCACCAAGGCGCGTGTGAATGTGCACCACCAATAGAAACACAAAACCGAGCTGGGGGTGCTCTGCTAATCAGCGGGGCAGCACTGGGATCTCTCCCGAGTGGCCGCACAAGCACATGGCTTACAGGGAATGCTGATGAAGGTGGCTGGAGAGAAAGCGCTGGACTAGAATGGGGCAGGCAGCCAGAGAGCTAGGTAGGATGGTGCGGCCCTCAGTAGCCGGGCTGCATACAGGGAGTCAGGCTAAGGCGGACAGCCCAGCGTGTCCACACACACACAGCGCTATATCAGGATTCACGCCTACACCGACACCATGAACACAACCCCAGGCCCACCCGCCATCACAAGCACATAGAGAGCCACAGGGTCCCCAACGCACCCGCACGGCCCTACACCTGCTTGTGCGTAGGTCCACAAACACACACTCCTGCCTACCACACCTGGTGACTTTGCCTGAGAAGAGTGAGTGGATTGGGCCCATCCTCTACTATATATTTGAGAGGGTTTGTCTGCGATGGAGTGAGTCTGTCTGTCCGTCTGCCTGCTTAGTCAAGAGCTAAGCCCACCGAATTCGGGACACAGATTCCTCTGATCGTCACTGAAAGCAAGGGCAGGGTTTGGTTGTGCCAGGACAATGGGATGTGCCTGGAATGGGTTTGTTTTGAGTAACACGGAAAGGGAGGGGGCTGTTAGCAGGGACAGTTATACCATGTCATGACCACAGGGGGCTGCAAGGGGCTAGATATGGGGACTGGGACAGCTATAACCCCATTGGGCCAGCAGGGGGCAGTGATGGAAGTAAGTTGCCTGCCCACCCCCCCCAGCCAGTACAGCCCCCTCCACGGTCAGCCCTGAAGAGCTGCCGCCCGGGCAGCACAGCCCCTGCTGGCTCCGGTACCCCTCACACTTCCAGCCCCCTATTTTGAGCCCCTGATCACCCCCTAGCCCTGACTCCAATACCCCCCACACAACATCCCCTGCCCTGAGCCCCTCCTCCCGTCAAACATGACTCCTGTACTCCCTCACACACCGTCAGCCCCCTGCCCTGAAGGATCAGAGCAACACCGGGTAAGTCGTCCGGTTATTATATATTAGGGCTGTCAAGCAACAACAAAAATTAATCGCGATTAATCGTGCACAATAATAGAATACCATGTATCTAAAGATTTTTGGATATTTTCTACATTTTCAAACTAATTGGTTTCAATTGCAACACAGAATTCAACATGTACAGTGCTCACTTTATTTTTGATTAAAATATTTGCATACTAAAAAACAAAAAGAATTGGCATTTTTAATTTCACCTAATACAGGTGCGATCTCTTTGTCACGAAAGATGAACTTACACATGTAGAATTATATATTACAAAACTGCACTCCAAAACAGAACATTGTAAAACTTCAGAGCCTATAAGTCCTACTTCTTGTTCAGCCAATCACTCAGACTAACAAATTGATTTCCATTTGCAGGAGATAATCCTAGAATCCTAGAATCATAGAGCTCGAAGAGACCTCAGGAGGTCATCAAGTCCAGCCCCCTGACGAAGGCAGGACCAATCCCAACTAAATCAACTCAGCCAGTGCTTTGTCAAGCCGAGACCTAAAAACCTCTAAGGATGGAGATTCCACCACGTCCCTAAGTAACCCATTCCAGTGCTTCACCACCCTCCTAGGGAAATAGTTTTTCCTAATATCCAACCTAGACCTCCCCCATTGTAACTTGAGCCCATTGCTCCTTGTTCTGCATCTGTCACCACTGAGAACAGCCTCTCTCCATCCTCTTTGGAACCTCCCTTCAAGAATTTGAAGGCTGCTACCAAATCCCCCCTCAGTCTTGCTGCCTGCTTCTTGTTTACCGTGTCACCTGAAAATGAGAACAGGCGCCTGCATGGCCCTTTGGTGACTGGTGTTTGCAAAGTCTTTACATGCCAGACAGGCTAAATGTTCAGCCACCATTCCAGAGGGCATGCTTCCGTGCTCCTGATGCTCATTAAAAAAATAATGTGTTAATTAAATGTGTGACTCAACTCGTTTGGGGAGAACTGTATGTCTCCTGTCCTGGTTTACCTGCATTCTGCCACACGCTTTGTGTGATACGGTCTCAGATGATGATACGGTCCTGGCAGATGTTGTTTGTTTTAAGAACACTTTGATGAAACACAAGGTACCAAGGTGAGCATTCTAAAGATAACCACAGCACTCCACTCAACGTTTAAGACTCTGAAGTGCCTTCCAGAATCGGAGAGGAATGCCATGTGGAGCATGTGAAGAAGTCTTAAAAGAGCGACACTCAAAGGCAGAAACCACAGACGCCAAATCACCCCAAAAAATGGTGGCATCTGACTCAGATGATGAACATGAACACGAGTTGGTCCATACTGCTTTGGATAATCCTCGAGTAGAATCGATTCATGTCCTCTGCAATATGGTTGAAGCATGAAGGGACACATGAATCTTTAGCGCATCTGGCATGAAAATACCTTGTGATGCCAGCTACAATAGTGCCATGTTCTTACTTTCTGGTGACATTGTAAACAGGCAGCGGGCAGCATTCTCTCCCACAAATGGAAACCAACTTATTTCTCTGAGTGATTGACTGAACAAGAAATAGGACTGAGTGGACTTATAGATGCTAAAGTTTTACCTTGTTCTTGTTTTGAGAGCATTTTTTTATACATAATTCCACATTGGGTTTAGGCTGGGCATTAGGAAAAACTTCCTGGAATAAATTGCCTAGGGAGGTTGTGGAATCTCCATCACTGGAGATATTTAAGAGCAGGTTAGACAAACACCTCTCAGGGATGGTCTAGATGGTGATTGGTCCCCGTGAAAGCAGAGGTCTGGACTTGATGACTTTTCACAGTCCCTTCCAGTCGTATGATTCTGTGGTTTTATGGTGACTCTGTGACTATCCTGATTCAACCCATGTATCATCCCTGTAGCTGAAGTTATGAATATTGTGTATGTGTCTGTATCTCAGATGTGATCATTGTTGGGGGAACACCCACAAGGTAGCTTACACCTAGGCTGGCCAGTCCATTGGGAATGGGCCATTTAAGCTGGATGGGTCATTCAGAAGAATCAACTGTCTCTCTCTATATCTATATTTATATCCCCACCCCATCTATCTATCCATCCCCCCACACACCATCTCTCTCTCTCTCTCTCTCTCTCTCTCTCTTTCTCTTTCTCCCCGCATATGTGCCTCTTGCACCCACTGCCGTGCTATTTTTACTTCCGCCAGTCTAAGCATGAGAGCCCACTGCTGCAGAGGGAAGAAACAGCCTGTGAAGGGTTAAGTCCACAACCTCTTTGGAGGGGTGTGTGTGTGTGTGTGGTGGGGAGTACAGTCGCCAGAGCACAACCCCTCATTAACTCGCTGAGCCGTCGGCACCGGCCTGTCTGTCTGGGTTAGGCTGAGCGGTTGGATTGGGAGGGAGGCGGGTGGGGCGGGGGGACCAGAAGGAACTTCTGCCTCGGTCTGAAGTTGTGGCAAAGTTTCAGAGGCGCTCGCAGGGCATCGCCGAGAGGGGCTGGGAGCCGCTCAGGGTGAGTGCGTGTCTGTCTGGTGGGTATGGCGGGCCGGCTGAGTGGGGCGCAGTCCCGAAACCCCGGTACCGTCTCCTAGACAGGGCAGGAGGGTGTTTTTCCCCCCAACACAGCAACACGGCATTTACCAGATAGGTTTATTGAGGGGCCGTGGGGGGTACCTAGGAGGGGGCCAATGTGATTTCCAAGGGAATTAACCCATCTCTGGATTTTCCTACCCCGTCCCGGGCAGAGCTGTCTTTCTTCTAGGGACGAGAGGATACTCCAGAAAAGCAAACCTTTGGGACAGACCAGTACATGCCAAGTGTTGGGTGTTTTCAAACAGCGTCTTTAGCGACACATCTTCCAGCCTGCATCCCATTCACTGCCCCCAACAGATTTCCCACCCAGGTTCAGATCACACAAGCTGTTCTCCCTACCTTTCGGGCATATTTTTCTGGAGCCAAATCCAGCTGTTGCCTGTG